AGAATTTGATGTTGAAGTGCAGCCTAGGAGCGTAAAAACGCTATCGGACTCGAGCGGACTCGTTTTGGAATGGCCAGATGGAATCAAGAGCACGTAAATAATAATATTTTTAAACTGAACAATTAGATTTATGGAATTTCGTTCCTATAATAATTGCTCACGATCATTCACGTTATTTTACGTTTAATTACTCGTTATTTTTGGTATAACTTTTTAAGAAATATCCATTGACAGATATTCTTGCGAATGGTTACGAATAAGAAATCAGTCTGATCAACAGATGCGCGATCATCGGAAATCGATTTATCTGGACGAAACGCATGAATGGAATGCTCAGAAAATCGAGCCATGTTTAGGGAGATTTCAATATGACAAGTTTATGAACGATGATCGGGTACGGTTGCATTTGTTTGCTTGCCCATTAAATAAACAAGTTTAACAAGAAGTTGAATTGGTCAAGTGTTTGGGAGGTTGATGGAGGATGTTATCTGGAAAATTAAGATTGAAACAGTTCGAGATGATTATCATAGAGGTGAAAATCTGCATGCATGAGAATGTTTCGTCAGCATTAACAAGCAACCTAGAACTGCACTGCTTATGAATAGTCAACATCAGGGAGCAACTTTTTGGTTGGGAAGGTAAGGACCTCATCGGGAATCTGATCACCGATGAGGGAATTCGGAGAAAAATAGGGTAGTAAAGCTGCCGAGGAAGGATTCTCCTTACTGCTTGGAATAAAGCATCCCAACGAACACTAACATAAGTTGATACAATATAATAATTCGATTGTGTTCCAATATAATGCTATAATAAGCTCACTTCAGGTATTACATGACTTCTTGACGTGTGTTTGTCGAGATGGTATAGCTCTGCTCTCTGGATGTACGCAAGATGCGGTTGCTCAGATTGGAAAACGTATCGGTTTCATCCATCGAACTCATTTTGGGTATAACGCTTTGTTACTTCATTCTTCATTCCATTTAAACGATTCGTTTAATTCGCCCAAATGAAAATCAGCAAACACTCGCACTGCTGGTAGTATAGGTTGTGACAGCAATTACAAATTAATGAGCGTGCCAGATGTTTTGCCGAAGTTTTAACAAAATGATATGGAATTCAAGAGTGAAAGATTCAGCCAAATCTGTCATCATTATTTGCTTGTCCAATAAAGAAACAAGTTTAACGAGAAGTTGAACCGGTCAAGTGTTCGTTGGTCAAATCAAAATTGGTCAAATCATGCGATTCCATTTGTTACGAATATGAGACGAAAAAGACATAAGACAAAAAGACATCAAATATGAGATGGTGGTTGTTACTCGACTAATCATTCCAGTAATGGATCCACGTCTAACCACTAAATGGGTTCGAATCTCCAGATTTTGCTCGCAAAACTCTCGACGAGTTGCACGAGATTATGCGGGGAGATTTTTGCGGCTCTAGACTGAGCCCAGCCTGGAGACTTGAGACTATGTCTGAGCTGATTGACGAGACTATGTCTGTAGGTGATACTCAACGACTTGAGGGCCACGATTGGGAATAACCTTAACAACTAAAATCAGTGATAAAGTATAATCCTATTTGAATGAGTTGTGACCATTTTACAGTACAATATTTGAATTGCAAACGAAATCGGATGCCAGTAATATGGCGTATGCCTCAACCAAAGAATTACCTTTCCATACGGATTTTCCATCGCTCAGCGATCCGCCGCAGGTGAGTACATTCCTTCCATTTTTTTATTCCGTGGAAGGCGGAATGAATTAATTTGTGAATGAATCAATGCAAATATATTCATTCATTTGATATCTTACAGCGTCACTTCAAATGATCTTATACCCTGATCCATATTCACCTGTTCATAAACTCTGCTTGATTTTCACTATTGTGAAACATTAGCTGAATAATTCAAACTATTGAAGTGGGCGAAGTTAGGGACTGCCACGTGATAAAAAAGTGACATGTGAGCAGAGGCTATAGATGAGAATGTTATACGATAAAAAATCAATGACTTAAGATTATAAGGCCTATCACGATATCATTTCACATTTATCTAGTCGAGAGTTAATATCACAAAGACAGCCATCACATTACCAAAGGTATCTATCTGCAGTCACCGTTTATAATCTGTGTCATCATATTCAGTTACAAATGCTGCATATGTTGCAAAGCGCTGATCAAGGAGGCCACAATTTATTCGTCGATGGATTTTATATAGCCGAACAGGTCAGATGAATGGACTGCTTATCCATCCTTAGTGAACTTTATTATCATGTTCGATTAATTCATTGGAAATTACCAATTCACTATTCACTCACGTCACGCAATGATTTATCGCATCAGTTCAACGCATCGGTACTTGAACAACATTTTAATGCTAATACAATCCAGTGTCTTCCTTAATTCGCTTATCTCAACCGAAATTTCAGATGCGCACTCATCATCAAAAAGAATTCGAAGTGTTAAGCCGCGTTAACATCGAGTATATCGAGCAAGGTTACGACAGCCACCCAATGGAAAACGGCGAATCAGAAACGTTTCATTACGATANAAAAATTATGCTGCAATACTTTGAAAAAGCATCACACTGAAAACATTTAAGGAACCTTTCAAGACCTATGCAAGACATATCACATTTATCTATACAAAAGTTACTCTCACAAGAATTTTTTATTCCATGTAATTCTTTATTTTCATACTACCAACGGTATCTTCATTTATTACATTATTCTATGTAATCAGTTGTGTGAGCGCACTCTAAACGACACAAAAATTTTCGTGCGATCGCATTTAAATGGTTTATCTATGCTCTCATACATTATGAAATATTCACTCTATTGAAAATGAATAGCAAATCAAACAGAACGGCAAACGCAGCGAAAAAAAATCACACAGAGATCAGTAAAGAGCACCAATGTGAATATACTGGTGTATCATGAGTCAGTAACTGTGCAGAAAGAATCACTAAAAAAAAGCAAAATTGTTGATTCAGTGAATTTTTCAGTACTGATTCAAATGGTCACGTGAAGAAGATTCAATTCGGGAATGCAATGCGAAGTTGGCTCTATGACTGTCACGTTGACGAGATTCAGTCCGTTTATCGTGCTATGAAACTTTTCACTGAACTCTGCTACAGACCCGAGAATATTCTCGAGTTACAACTTCAGAATGGTGATTACCTCTTTTGATTGACTCACTATCCATCAAAACGATTGAATGCTGCCTTTCACTAGCGAGCCGAATCATGACAGCGATTCGATATGAAAGATGCAAACGCTCTAGTCAAGGACGTCCCTGTTCCAAATGACTCTCCTATTCTATCAAAACAGAACAGAACAACTGTATAATTCGTAATCTGAGAACGTCACAGAATAGAATAGCTTCAAAGTGAAGACGCGGAATAGAATAGAATAGAACAGTTGGATGGGCAGAACAGAATAGAAGAGTTCATCAATAGTGTGGATCAGACAAATCACTAGCTCTAGGTGTTATCTTTATTGCCTATAACATTGGCTTTGAATGTTACTCGTATTATTGGTAATAGTTATTCAAAATGTTCATCTTTTCAGGTGATACAGTTTTATGGGCCAATACCAGGTTGTTGCATACCCGAACTGCGTTCACCGCTTCAGCGGAAAGACCTCGAACGCTGAAAGGATGCTACTTCTCATGGGATATAGTCAAGTCACGTGTACGCCAACTTCGCGACAAACTCGCTCATCCCTTAAACCAACCTTGTGTTTAATAATAACGTCGTATAAATGGCCATTTTTACAAGCTGAACTCCATTCGCTATTTGTTCTTATGAACAAATTATCATTCGAAACTCATAACTATGTACATTTCTCAATATTGCAAAATATGTGAAATAAACATAATCTAACGAACGAAATCACGAATCTTAATCAACATCTGATCATCAAGAAAAAATGATTAATTCGTTGAAGTCACTGATTACCAAGGAAAATCTGAATAGACTGATTTGCGTCACAGTATGGATGTGAATCATGTAAATGAGAATAAAAATGATTGCACTATAAATGACAGCAATGCACTTTCGATGAACAAACGAACAATTGAACATGAACAATAGCATTGATTACTGTCACTTCACTTGTGCAACATGTTCAAGAACGATAAACTTGAATGAGTTGAAATAAGGGAGGACAAAATAATCTGAATATTTATCGATATGATTGAGCGGGATTCACCGATANTCAGTCCAACTCAATGAGCAGTTAGATTATCGATCAGAAAGTAGATGCACTATTCCAGCTCTTCCCCAATGGGTAATGACAGTCTTCACAAGAGAGTCAAAACTCTGGAAGTTTCGCTCAATAGCAACTAAGATTTGAAATGTGTAGTGGCTATTGACCGATAATGTGAGACGACTTTTAGAAAGAAGGAGTATTCGGGTAATTATTGGCCACATGTAATGCAAATCAGTGAGAGAGCTGAACGATATGAAGTTTTAATATTTTCTGCTAACAAACAAAACAGTAGATTATTTCATGTTAGTTATTAACAGTGTGAAATTTTTCATGCATGTCATTCAGTGTGCATGTGCAGATAATATTTTGTTGCTCGTTTTTTAAATCTCTTATTGAAGGTTCTATGATCGCAGCTTTTGCATCCGTGAAATCGTTCATGTTTGAGCACCATTTATGTGTTTTGTTCAGCTCTCATTGGTGGGCACAAATTTTTTTCATATGCTTGCAGTCTTGTGTTCAACCAAACTTTGCCTAACCATAAAGTTGATGCAGTTGAAAATGACAGCCTTCAAAGTACGATCATTTTATTGAATGTTCGACCATTTTTGCAAAATCGCCTTCGTTTTGTTTCTCCTCTGAGGGTCGGGCGAAAACTCGAGCCTAAATTGTGATCCTTGCTGGTTTTAGTATTATATTTATAACCTATAAGTAATGTTCAATTCGACTGTGTGCAATGATGTCGGGCGAGAAACAAACGTCGGATTCACATGGGGACAGTTTTAGCTTCCACGAATAACCTTCTCGTTCCCACAAGAAGATTGGATAGTCCTTTTGCTGTAGTTAGCGTGAATTGAGATATGAATCCACTGGATGATATCTAACTTTCCAATCATAACGCTATAATCTAACGATAAGTCCCCACAATGATGTAGCTTAGACAGGCGCTCAAGGTATTGCTCCAAAATTGGTTCCTCTGCCCCTTATCTTGAGGTTCTATAATTCTGTCAATTCTAAGCCTGGAAAGATCTTTTGTAAGCAGCTCAGAGATGTCTAGCTCATATGCATAGGCTGAACAACAGAAAACTACTTCAACCACAACCTGGGACTCGACACCTCGAACATGATCA